CGTACTTAATGTATTGACCTTTTTCTCTTTGGACAATTTTTAATAATTGTACTTCTAGCATGGTTTCTGTATATTCAATATTTTTCGATTGTAACCAGTCCATAATATTTCCTTTTCTCCATGCTGATGTCGGTAACATTTCAACTCTTCTACTATGATAAGGTGCGTTATCCATCACAACAACTGCTCCTGGCTCCAGATATGATAAAACATATTCAAACCATTTTTCAAACACGTCGCTGTTCATATCTTCATGATAATCTCCCGTTTTTCGTGACTCAAATACATGCAAACCATTTTCTAAAAATCCCGTATCGCTTCCAATATGTGTTATAATCAATCTTCGTCCTTTTCCAGAAGGTGCCTTTAATCCAGTAGAAAATCCATCTAAAAATGCTTGTCTCTTACTCTTAACATTACCATCCTGCCAAACTTTTGATACAGTATGACCTTCGTTTACCCATGTTTCATCCATGTAATATATCTTCTTACCAGATGCACGAAGTTCTCTTATTTTTTCTAAGTATTCTCTTCGCCATACCACAATTTCGTCTTTTTCAACGAGCATACTATTCCGATTCCGTTTCAAATATCGAAAATTCATGTCACGCATTATTCTTCTAAGAACCTTATCAGAGAAATTAGGAATATCCTCATCTTCAGCTATTGCAGCTTGAATTTTCTTTATCGTTGGTATTTCATTTCTAAAGAAAAATCCATGAATTTTCCTACGTATGGAGTATTTCACGTCAACGTCGACTTCTATTTTCTTCCTCCCTCGTGTTTCCACTTTTTTCTTCTTTGGATTCACTTCTACACTATTTTTTATGGCACGATAAACAGTAGCAACGGATACTTTTGTCAACGAACTACACATATCAACAGCTTCACTTACACTTGTATTAGAATTTCGCGACCGAATTCCTTTATACACGTTTTTTACCATTATTAATTCCGCATCGCATAGGTTAGGGCGTTTATGAGCAACAGACCGTTTGCTACAACCGGCACTTTGATCCATTTTAATTATTATTCCTACGTTTTAAAACGTCCCGATTGTATTTTTTTAATTTATAAATTTACTATAGTCACGGAATATGCAAACCCTCGCGCGCGCTTATAGTTTGACGTTTCTAACTACGGCTAACTCGAATTCTACGTACGTCCGTTTACACCCACTAAAAAGAGCATTTCCCTATCTGTAATAAGTGCGATAGACAGAGATAGGAAATAAATCGCGTTCAGTGTAACTCAGTCTATGACTGTTATAGATCCTATCGATGTGCAAAGAGAGCGGCACATCATTTAACATAAGCAAATAATATTGAACCGTTATAAAAATCATTTTAAGTTTTATACACTTTACGGTAATAGTGTTTCTATATTATGTATGAATCACTATCTATATTTTCGGCCGTCGAGTATAGTAAAAAAGTAAGTCCCGGGCATCACCTATTCACAATGTCACAAGCCGCCACTGCTATGACTTACATTTATAGTAATTTAATAAAAAATTTTAACGAGTTAGATTTTGAAACATTTGTTGCTTAAATTAAACAAATTTGGAGACATTGCTGTGTCCCAAAATAAAAAACGCAGTTAGTATTATGAAACACTTATTAAGACACAAAATAAATAACAAATATAAGTCAACGCACAGTGATTTGACTCTACCATCGCTAGCGAGCCATTTTTTTAGTATCTTTCATAATAAAAAATCGGTTCCGTAACAAAATATGTAATTTGTATCATCTCAAGTAATACCTGGGATTGATTTTCAACATCCGACAGGTCTAAAATTAGGTCAAACGGTCGGAATCCAGGATAGCAGCTTACTTTTCCGGAGGAAAATCGATGCCAGAATGAAACTAGGACCCACTTACGAAGGTGCTCACCTCATTTTCTAAATAATATTTAACTAATATATCTAAAAATATACATAATCCTCAACAATTTCCCGATTACTAATTGATATTCAAACAAGACGAAAATCACACACAAACATAGACAAAAACACCGACCAAAATTAATACCATTCGCTTAAATTTAGAAGATTAATTGATGAAGCAGCTATTTTTGGCCACCCCTTAATAATTCATATCCGCCGCCCAACCGTAAATGTGGCTCGAAACTCGTTATATTAATGAAAACTCCAATAAAATTAATTCATTCCTACAAACTGTACCTCGGCATGCGAAGGTAAGAAGACTGCAGCTCCGATGACGGATTATAATGTAACCGGCATAGTTGTGAAGTCGCATTACATTGCAGTCTCAATTTATTTCACAATAAACAATACGTAAACTTTAATAAGGGGAGTTCGTGGTGTGCCAATTTCTTGATAACATTAATTCCGTCATAATTAAGCAGTAAGCTCGTCTATTGAACACGATGGTAAGGCTAATGCAATTAGATAGTGACATTAATTTTATTATAAACGTAGCTGTTCCGTGTGCTGTAACAGTGACGTCAAGCTGCCGTAAGGCAGACAGGCTTGTTTGGAACAGAACTGGTGTCGATTTCAACTTATGGTTGAGAGTAGTGGTAGTCTAATGAGCTTGAGCAGTTTTTCAAGAGAGGTGTTTAGCTTATTTCATTTGTTTGAATATTAGTATTGTATAAAAAAGAACATAGATCGTATAGAATGGGAAATATACAGGGTGATCCATTAACGGTATCGAGCGGCTGTATATAGGAAACTAGACGTACTACGATTATGGGGTAAAAAATCTATTAACAAATACGGCCAAAAGAAATTGATTAAAAATATTTTCAAGTTTGTAACATAACCGCTAGAGGGCGCAACTGCTATAGTGTTACAGAAAATTGTCGGTTTTTCGAAATTTCGCTTATATAACCTAAGTTGAAAATACATTTTCTAGATACACTATTACACCCTTCACAAGTTTTGTTCGAACTTTTTTTTTGTCATTACCATAGCAACGTCAATATGAAGGACGCTATCTTGAAATATTTAAATTGTCATAACTTCTAAATGCCTTAATCGCCTTCAATAAACGATGGCTCATTTTAAAGAACTAATAATAAAATTTATTTTTATGATATAGGAATGAAAATATTATTTTCCTAGGCAACGGTAGACGACGCTAATGAGGAAACTTTTGTAATTGTCTCCGTTTACTAAAAAAATTAACTGCAACAATATAGATTTTTTTTCATGGCTTGATAGACCATTTATTATGGGAAACAAATACACAAACCGGAGGTCGATATCTTTTTTAGTTTTCAAGTTATTGCTAAAATAGTGAAATTGTGCTAGAACATCCTCCTTTATTTAGTTCTCTAAATAACATTGACATAATCCAAGCCAAAATTAAATTGTAAAACTATACCAATCTTGTCCCTAAAAAGAATTATTGCTTCATTTTGAAATTTTTTTTTTTGATAACTGCAATATTTCATTTTTTTTATTAATTCTAAATATCTGAGTAGTTATAAAGATTATTGTTTCCATAACGAGGCAGGCTATGCCCTATGAAAATAGACAACTGAAAAATTATGCTAAACGATGTTTCATGATAAGAATTCTGTATATGTTTAGCCTTCATTGTTTTACGCTCAGGGGCGTATATTTTTCTAATATAAAATTGTTACAATTATTATTAAAGATTGCTCATTATTTATTACATGTTAAAATATGTATATATTGTCGTGACTGCATGGATATTACAATAGCAACTCCTTTGTTTCACATCTAACTTGTTTTATCATGACTACGTTGTTCTTTGATTTCTTGTGCTCACTTTATGTTATACGTCTATACGAGCCTTGTTGAGTTCACTAACATTTTCGCCCGTGCGGAACGAATCTGGATTAAGCTCGATTGCCTCCCGTATGGGACTCCAGTGTTATGAAGGATCTTCCGAAATCTCAACTATAGCTGGATTGCCTCCCGTATGGGACTCCAGTACCTTCCGGCTCTGCCGGCTAACTAACACCAAACCTCTTCAGTTTTACTTGGAAGTGTGTATGACTAATATGAGGTAACAGATGACATTTAGTGACACATTAAATGAGACAGGTCTTATTTATCATTAGCAAAGGTTCTTAATTTATGCCTTTGGTTAGCGGTTGTTTTGTATTTATATTTGGGTGGTAAGAGCAACGATCGTGGGTTTCTCTGCCATGCTCTTTCCCCACAGGAGCTCTAGGTGAGCCTGGCACTCTCATTTTATGTTAAATGGTTGTTAATGTTTTGTTGTTCTTTCTATTTGTCACATGTTCAATTTGAAGATTGTTGTACATAAATAATAAAGTTAGGTGTATTTACTCTGTCTTTGCTTTATAAAATTAAACCATACATCCCCTCAAAAATAAGTTAGTAGCCAGCGCCTTCCGGTCAATAAAAAAATAAATACACATAACGTAGGTATTTCTATATGACGATCACATATTTTTGGCCACAACTACGTTTATTTTTTTTATCGAACTTAGGGTTGTTATACTACAAAAAGAACTTTGAAGAAGTTCTTTGATCATTTTTAGACACTTATTCCGGAAATTGATACAAATTTAGTCATTCTTGGTGCAGAAACGATTTAAGGATTGGTGTGATCAAAGAAAAACAAAGAATCTTTCGGAAAATGTGTTAAGCAAAGTAAATGTACACATTGTTAAGTTAAAAATGAATAATGCCAAGTTACTTTTTGGATAAACCTATTGGCTCTAATTTCACATCTCGACCCTCAAATGAACCTATTCAAAAGACTTCCATCAGCTGGATTTAATAAATTTTAGTTAGTCAATTCTTAAGCATTTAAATCTGTCAGGATTCAATAATATTGAAATTGTTTTAATAAAAATACGATTACGTGACTTATTCTCCAGTTAATATTCGTTACAGGGTAATGATTTCAGATGGATCTACCGCCAGTTTTAAGGTACAAACTGTAAGCTTTGAAGAATATAAGGAATAATGGCTTAACTTTCTAAATAAAAAGTAGATCGCCTAAGGACCTGATCAACAAATTATGATTTACCTGTGTAAGAAGCTGCGGTCCTGTACCATTTTCGTTTATCCTGAAAATGAAAGGCCCACTCCCGAAACACTCTTCAAACATACTTGGCATGTCGAACCTAAAGAGAAACGAAATTTATAATGTTAAGGAATCTTTGTCTCAGTTTCTGACTTTATAGGTGGAATAAATATGCTTGCATATTATTTTTAAAATACAAATAAAATATATTTACCATTTATTTATTTTGTGCATTACTGAATATGTAAATGAATAAAACGTGAAAAATAATAATCAAAAAAACTATTTTATGACTTTAATTATGTCAAAATATAATGACATTGAATATAACTTAAGGCAGTTTCTTTTTTTATATATTTGGCAATACTGAAGAAATTAATGGAAGCTATAAATGAGCTTCCAAGGTTTAACTTTAATTTCGTTCTACAATACACAAAAAATGGCAAAACTTTAGCAAACGGCTTATGATGTTTTTAATGAAAAAAATGTAATCTTTAAAAACAGTATTTTTTGTCTTATAACACTAATATTGTTCAATCAACTTTCAATTGGAATAAATGAAAATATTGTTTATAACTCAAAAACTAAGAATATCCCAGAATTGAGTCATATATACAGATTTTTACTATTTTGTTATATTTTTCTAACTTTATGTTATTGAATTTATTTTATAATAGCATAATCTCTCCTAAACTAATTTTATCTAGAAATCTGTCGAGATACGTAAAATTAGGTTAGGACAGGTTAAGTTTTCCTTTATACGTACTAACCTAATTTTATTTTTATATATTTTTGTTTCTTATTTTTTTATTACCAAGTGATTGAAAATTCTATACATTTTTAATTATTTTTTATATTGCACTGTTTGTATAATAAAATATAAATGTATGTGTCCCACTAAGGTGAGCGAGATACGATATTAGGGAAAGTATAGGACCTAGAGCTTCGGGAAAAAAAATTTATTGAATAAATCGACCAAGTTTGTAGCTCTATTTATTAAACAAAAGCTGTTGCTTCTAATGAGTTGAATGATCGATAAAAATGTTGTCACTTATTTCTGGGAGATTCTGTATGTGTTATATAAAAAGACATAATGTGATCTGCATAATTTGATGTTCTAAAAAAATCCATAAGAACGAAACATGTATTAACTTACAGATACGGAAAACATAAACTTAGCCCAAATCGCTAACCTTCTGTAAATCATTATCATATAAAATAAAATAAATCATCATTTAAGTTAATTTGTACGTAAATAAATGTTCCTAATTCGTGAGGTAAATGTACAACAACAGTAAAATATTATAATCCATGGTTATTATTGTTTTTATCTGAAGATGGGAAAAATCCCGAAACGATCGTAATAAAAAAATTATTTAAAAAATTTGTTTTACAACAAATTATTTAATTGTGATCTGTTCTCCCAGTAAATTAATAATTATTCAATAAATTTAGTATGCATTGGTTCTATGACAATTTTGACTGTTTTCATCGTAGAGGTTCAGTAAATAAATCAAAATATTGTGTAAACTGACAGAACAAATATATGACATGTATATATCACCGAAATTAGAAAAAAAATAGTTGTTGATATCTTCAAAATATAACATCAATTATTTTTTATATATTTCTTTGACATCACATGAAAATTTCCTAAAACTTTGGTTTTTACCATTTTTTCCTAAATAGAAAAGTAAAAAGTATAAAGAGGTACAATATTATGTAAATGACCTTGTATATTACCTATGTTGTGGAATAAATCAATTTTTAGTTATTTTGTTCCATACATTTAATTTTTTATATTTACAAAGAGAATTTTAATTTTTTTTCCACGATTGTTATTAAAGCTACTAATATACAGTGTGTCCCTGAAAGGATGACCACAGGTTCCTTAGATGAAAATATGACTATTACTTGAAGAATTTCTTCGACCCTTTCCAACATTTGTCATTATCCACGATTTAATGTTACAGGTAAAAAACGTCCTGTTTCCCGAAGGCGTCTCTCCGCATTAGCAAATGTTTTGTGATTTGGAGTTCTTCGATTAGGAAATCTTTCAGCATATGTTCGAACAGTAGCACAACAATTTCCGTTACAATAACCCAAAACTATTAACATACCAGTTTGTTCAGCAAAAGTATAAATTGCAATAAAAAACAAAGTATGTAAGCTAAAATTAAATCACAGCTAGCTTGACACAGAACCTTTTAATTATTGTTATGAATTTATTTCTCTGTTATATGGCATCTCGTGCTATAATGTTCTATTTATCTTAAACTGATTTTATATTATTTAATGTGTAAAAATGCCATTTTTACTCGAAATCCATAAACGATATCAAAATTTTGTAAGAGGCAAAAAATCTTCTAAAATAGTGCTTATTTTTAAAAATATAAATTCCGTCGTCATTGGCGTACATACAAAAAAGTTACGGGATAGCCAGTGGCGCACAGGCACTAGAAAGAGAACATCCTGTATATATATTCTCACCAAATTCTATATTTACATTGCCCTTATATAAAAGAATATGTGTACCAAATTTGAAGTTTCTAAGAAAAACAGTTTTCAAATTATTTGAAAAAAAAATAGGTTACTGTTCTATATTTAGAAGGCTATATCTCAGTAGGCGTGCACTTTTGTATATAGGTAAGTTAGGCTAAATAGTCTTGTTTTCATCCAAGGAACCTGTGGTCAAGCGTCGTCCATCCTTGTCAGGGACACCCTGTATATTAATTCTTTTGTTTTTTGTTCAACCCAAAATTATTTGAAACTAAATAAGAAATGAATGACAATATAAAAAATTATTCCAACTTTTAATGTCAACATAATCATTTTATACATATATTTAGATATTAAAGAAAGTTTCTAAGCTTTAATTTTAGTTTCGCTCTGCAGTAAAAGAAAATTAAGAATGTATTGTTGATTTCATTAATTTGCGTTTGAAACCTAAACAAAACCAAATATTTCTGCTTTAAAATAAATAAGAAATAATTTTTTCTACAAAACTTCAGTGTGTTCTACATTCGACTATAAAACAAAATTGATAAATGACTAATAAATCTAATCACAAACAAGTAACAAGCGGTGACAAAGCGATTACATTTTATATCACCGATTGCAACTGAAGGGCGTACCTACCCCAACCTCCTCGCAGTCGTCGAGGGCAATAAACACCGGGGCGGAGGGCAAAATAAAATCCATAAACAAAATTAAAATCTGGACTAGGCACGCGGCACACACACCGTGCTGGCAGGCTGGCTGGGAACAGAAACGGAGCGCTGCGACGCCGATCCAGACGCTGTCGCCGTCGTCGTCAGCTGCGACATGCGAGTTCCACCATTCATATTCTCGCTAGGCCGGAGTCTTCCCCACCGGACCGCTGTACCAGGTTACGTCATGCGACGGCCCTACGCGGCGATTTATTGCCCCTCGCCCGTCCGGCGAATGCAGGAACACCTATAGGTTCTCATTCGAATTTATTGTATAAAATTAAAGCAATAGTGCATACAATATAACCACAAGCCACGTCGCCCGTAATTATTTGATAGTAATATACCGCCCCCTCCTCCACACAAGCAGCAAAATGGTCTAGAAATCGCGTAATATTGTAAAATGGTTAGATACTCTTCTATCAAATCTGCCACAAAACTAAAAAAGTTATGTATTATACATATATGATTTAAAATTAAAATTAATTTTGTTTAATAGTCCAGGAAAATTAGACGAAAATAGGGCCGAACCTCGGAATTGCATAAAGAAGGTTCGATTTTGATGGGACAAAGTGCGTTCTCTTCGTAATTGCATATAAATCTTGATGCGGTAAAGCTCATTCTTCTTCTTATTAGTTGTACTTTAACTGTAAAGGACCCCCACCGATCTTCATTTGTTTATCGGTTTTTATTTGATTGTTATAAACAAATTAGACGTGATATCTGCGGTCGGGAGTAGGACTAGCCGATTTGGACGGGATGAACGTGGTTTTATATAGAAAGTTCAAGATCCTAATGCAGGAAGTGAATTCTCAAAAAGCTGAAGACGATATAGAACATGAGTCATTATGAATAAATGTTATCCACTTCTCTTTGATTAAAAATTATCCATTCTAAGTCTTAGTTACAGATTGTACGTGTATTTTTTTTATAATGATTAATTAGTAAAAAGAAACAAATGAAGATCATTCGGACCTTAATGATTTTGGAATATCCCGGATGATGATCAAAGTGACTTATTCCATAAAAATCAGACTTTTCTCGTCCAGCTCACAGATAACAGCCCGAATTTGTATATACTAATTCATTGAAGATCAATGAACAAATGAAAATCAGTCTGCCCTTAGTGGCCCTTAGTGGTTCTGGATCACCTTGTAATCCAAGTACGAGAAGAGCGTCGATTACCGCATGAAATCCCCCTCTCTCAGTCCGATTGCCTAATTTGCTCTTATCTTAATGATCAAATAAAAATCAATTAACAAATGAAGATCGGTGGGAGTCTCCCAAAGTTAAGGTACAACTAATCAGAAGAAGAATGGGCTCTACCGCATCAAAATTGGCCTTTTCCAATCCACGTAATATCCGAAATACGCTAATTTGTTAATAATAATTGATTATTAATAAATAAACAAATTAGCGCCGCATGAGACGTTGTAGACTTTGACCTACATGCAATTACGAAGAGAACGCACTTTGTCTCATCAAAATCGAACCTTCTTTATCCAATTCCGAGGTGAAATGATAATTTTCCTGGACTATAAAAGTCATAAAACGGTTAAATAGCTTTATAATCACATCTGCAAAGTTCTACAAAAATCAAAGAATTAATTATATGGAAAAACCCCAAAAGAAGTGTCATTATTTGTATGATCGCGCCAAACGCTCTCTGACGTCACGATGCGGAATAGGTGATCGCGAAAAAATCGCTGATTAGGTTTTCATGTAATAATCTGCTCCATTCTCTGATCTGTGGTCTGTCAGATCTAATTTACAGAAATGTACGTACCGTTGTGTTCTTTTTGTAGTTTATTTAATTTTAATTAAGGTAAGCGAACATGCCAAAATGGAAAAAGGTTGTCAAGTAAGTCTTTATTTCAAAATAGGCCGTGCCCAAAAGGCAGACACACATAACCTGTGGATATTATAGTGTCGGAATTTTTTTGCCATGCGGAAAAACTTGAATTAAGCTCAATAAACTGATGTAAAAGCGAAACTAAATATTTTTTATATAGGGTGCTAATGAATTTATGTCAAAAATTTAAAGGGGTGAAAAAGGAGCAAAAACTGATGTCACAAACGTGTATCGAAAGTTTAAGGTCATAGAGAAAAAGCTAATTAAAAATGTGTTTAAAACTGGTCTGTAACACTTTTTACGAGTTTGTAGGTTTGTAGGTTCGAAAGTCAGTTTGTAATACATTGTTGTAGTGATTGCTGTGCTGTTTTTCGAGAGTGCATTAATAGCCGTATTTCTAAGTTTTATTTTGAAAATAGCGCATTTATGTAGCAATCGCGAATATTATGATATGCTCATAATTTATGGCGAATCAAACGAAAATGCCCACAGAGCTTGTTAAGTATACCATGCAAGATGGCAATGTTGCAACGCATGCGAGCGGATTGGATACGTCGCACTGAAGCTTGTGTGCAAGCAAATCGAACATCTTCTATGAAAATCAGCAGTTCCAAAAGGTGCCTCCTTGCAATGTTGAGGTAAGTTATATTTTAAAATTACATTTTACTCAACATAAATGCGTGTATTTACCTGATTTTGACATAACGGACATATTTGGCGGCAAAAATATTTGACATAAGTTCATTAACATCCTGTATAACCCAGTACTAAGAACTACAATATGAAACTTTTAATAGTTTATTATATAGGGTGTTACAAGTTAATTGCAATGCACCAAATTCAAATGAATAACAACAATAATAGTAATGGTAACAGTAATAGTAGTAGTAATAGTAATACTAATATTAATAGGTTATTGTCATGCGCCTATTAACTATACTAGGTATGTCTGGAGAATTTTTATAGCAGCCATTTTAAAAATAAATATCTTGAATCTTCTTGGAAGTACAATTAGATGTTACACGAGAAGAAAAAATAATTTTATTCTAATTTTATTATTTTAACGAAGCTTGTGCTTTTTTAAGACTAAAGAGTCATCTTTTAACCACCTCAAGGGGATTTCTTCCTGCGAGGATTTATGAAGAGAATAACCAGCCAATAGTTAACAACACCTAGTGCAAGCCTTCCACAATGCCACAAACATAATTCATGAGCAATCTGGCAGGTGTGATTGAAGAATTAAAATCGTCGTTTAGAACTATGCCCCCAATGTAACGCAGAAGTCGTTGAACCTTTTTACTCAGAGTTACTATTCCATATGATCTTAAGCAAATTATATCCATGTATAGAAAATAAAGTTTTTGCATTTAAAGTATATTTACATTTATCTCAAACATCACTAAGAATTAGGTACAATCACTATAAAAATCAAATAAATACAATAAAAATCTATTCCCATTTCCTTCTATTGATGGAAATTCTGACGCCGTTCTTGGATAGCAGTATAGTCTCAGGAGCCAGTAGTAATACATGCTCGGGCGTAGAAGGACGCAGTTCAAAATTCCTTATCACTTTCGACAGGGTGGTTTTCAATTCCATCATAGCAAATTTTTGGCCTATAAAATTACGATACAGAGTTCTTAGCTTGACAAAGACAAGGAACAGTTACCTATGCAGTTCCGAGGTCCAGCGCTGAACGGGATATAAGAGAACGGTTCTTTGCCCTCGTAGTTTTCAAACCTTTCAGGGATAAACTTCAACGGGTCGGGGAAATATTTGGGACTTCTGTGTATGCCGAAAATGAACAGAGTTATAGCTTGACCTTTAGGAAGTGTGATGTCATCTGCGAACAAATTCACTGGTTAAATAGTAAAAAAATGAATAATGAAAAAGTATATGCAAAGCAGTTGTTACTTAATGTCTACTGGTACATAGCATTGCGTTGTCCCTACTGACAGATAGCGACCTACTAACCTTAGCTATTTACTAGATATTGCAGGCCTAATCCAATACTGGATGGGGCTTTAGTCCCACAATATCATTAAATAAATAATAATGTTACCAATTTTTCGTATTCTTGTACTTTTATTTTATCCGAAATTCATTTTAAATTTTGAAATTACAGGCATGCTCTATAAATCTTTGCTTCAGGAGGCTTAGTTTTTAGTTTTAACTAAAGTGAATATCTTTTATTATCTGTAAACGAAATAATTATTTTACGTACCCCATTTTACATCTTCGTTTAGCTTTCTTCCAATGATTGGCACCGAAGGATATAGTCTTAGGGTCTCCTTTATGACCAGTTCCAAATATTTCATATTCTGAAGGTCCGATGCCGTTACATATGCTTTCTGGTTGCTGCCAAAAATGGTTTTTTGCTCTTCTACGACTTTTTGCTGCAATAAAAATGTCTTCATGCGTTAATATCTATATAGGGAATAAAAAACAACGTAACAAACTTCGAAGGCTGCCAATACTCGTCAAAAAGGTTATTTTTTATTTTCTGCGCACCTGTAGGCTCTCCACGTCCCATAAAGTAAGACATTAAGGTAAAAGTTTTCGACTATATCATTAATGAATAAAGAAAATAAACGAGGGCCTATTACAGAGCCTTGTGGTACCCCGGAATTTCATAAGCACAGTTTTTCTCAAATTGTTTATGTATAAAGGGTGACTCAGAACATATCCAAAATATTTGAATGTACAGCAAACTCTTACAAATACAATTTTGTAAAAAAAGTCAGAAAGGGCAATTCGAAAATGATTTAGAAATACACTTCTGCACGGCACTGAAGACTGGTCCACTGTAAAACCTGAAATTATATAAAACGATATCCATTAACTCCGAGTAAGCTATTCTTGACACTTGAAAAACTAATGTAAATACTATCGCAACAACGATAATATGTAGTAAAATCGGATTTCAGTATTTGGAGTCGCCTGGGACCACGTGAGCGAATAATGTTAGAGACTACAGTAGTCCAGCCATGTAAAGGTTGAAAATACTACAACTTCAATAATTTCTCGGAAATTATAAAAATTTTACAAAGCATTTCTTTACGATATTGACTCCATTTTTCGTGACGCATCTATTCCCAAATTTTTTTGGATAAATTGTGAATTACCTTGCATGTAACAAATACCTTACAAAAACTGATTCCTGCTACTAACTACTGAGAAACCTACCAAATATTGAATTTTTGCTGCTTTTTACGTTTTGAAGATGGTTTTTAGCAATTTAAAAACAACTGGAAAATGATGATAGAGCATTTTCCATGGCAGTTTCGATTTCTGGGTTCCAAATACTTATGGTAGCATAGGCCCTTTTTTGTGCTATGTAATTTGGTGGGTTAGCACATTTTTGTCTAAATATCTGGAAAATGGTTGACTACCTTTACTTCCAACTTCTGAAAAAATTGAAAATAGACAAATTATGATTGAAAACATTTCTTACCCTTTCAGAATCGTATATAAATTTTATTTCAACACCAAAGATTTAACAGAAGATATCAGCATTTCATTTGAACATTTTGTTAAAGCTGCAGCGAATTAAAATTTAACCCTTCAATTTACCCGTTAGGGCTGTAGCTTATAGCGCATTTTAAAGGGTATGATTATATAAATTGTTTTTTTTATTTTGACGAATACTATCAGCCTTAGACAGATACATGTTGTTTACAAACAAACGCCATGTAAATATTTCTAGTACAAATTTTAACTTTTTACAAACCTGTACATCCGGGTTGGTGGCCAAAGTATAAAGGGCGAACGTAATGGCAGACGCAGTTGTGTCATGACCCTGGAAATATTAGCTGGGATGTTCAATATAATGAGTAAAACTAATTACTTATTTATTTATCTAATTACCACTTAACAACACTTGCTTGGAAAATGTAATATTCGTATTACTGGTGTTGAAGTCTATGATTTTCTATAATTAGTAAGTTTCTATAATCATATATGGACAACGTATAATAAAATCTTAATCCACGATTAGCTCGAGAATCTAAAAATACAGAACGAAACGTTAAGTGAGAGACAGTTATTTTTCTGTGACTTTAAGACTTATTATTTTAAAGTCACCACACTTTTTTGAAGTCCATGCGAACGAAGCCGAACCATTAAAAAAATTATCGTGTGTTTTTAAAAAATTAATACTTTTTGCATGATTTGTTAAATATTAACTAATATTGGTATGTGATGAGGCATACGTTACTTACTGTAAATAGATAAAACTAATTTGTGTTTTAATTATACAGGGTGATTAACAAACGGTGATCAAGAATGAAACCTCGTATTCTTTGGTGAATTTTAAGGGGTCTTTCATCTATAAAGTGTTTATCTAGGAAGTTTCGTTAAAAAGATACAGGGTATTAAACTTAAAAAAATGTTTTTATTTTTTAATAATTTAAAAACTAGTAAGTGAAATAATTTGAAACGTCAAAGTTGCTATCACAGCCTACTTTTATTCGAATAAGTTCTACTCGAAAATCATGCTTTTTTCGAAAAACATAATAAAGTAGTAATTTGTAGAAAATTGAAAGACGAATCCGAAAATATCATGATTGTTACCATAAAGCATTGGCGTACTATTTCTGACACTGGAGCATCTAAATTTTAGGAGAAAGCCTCCGATTTTGGACAATATTTACATAAATCCATGTGTCCAATCTGAAATTATATCACTTACTGGTTTTTAAATTATTTAAAGAATTTAAAAACATTTTGTAAGTTTAACAACTTGTATCTTTTCAACGAAGCGTCCTAGATAAAAACTTTATATGAAATTCACCAAGGAATACGAGGATTTATTTTTGATCACCGTTTGCTGCTCAGCCTGTATTTGCTGTTTTATAAAAAGTACATAATAAAATACAGTAAAAATACTTATTAATCTAATGTGTTACTATTTCTTTAAAGCACCGTGTTTAGCTTGTGAACCTCAGTGTCAGTGACCTTGACATTGGCCTAGTTTAGATGACCTTCGTAATATCAATCCACCTGATGAGATACGAAAACAGGATTTTCTAATTTGGCAAGAACAAACAGCCCAATTTTAATTCGGCGAAATGAGAATGATCGAATTTGTTACCGCCTTGTTTAAATACACTGGCGTGTCCAACCGTAAGAAAATAAAAAAAATAATTTTTCGCAACGGAATTTGAGAAAACAAAGCAAAGGTAGCTACCTTCAGCTTTGTTTTGTTTGTATAAAGTTACACCCCACCTAACACTTTAAGCCTTTAGTGGTTTGGTCTTCAAGTGAGGGGAAAAACTCTAAGTAGCATGAAAAACTTCTACTAATTTCGGTGGTAACACGAGACACAACCGAGCAGGAACTAGCCTTCAAGACTTCTCCTTCATGCTTCAAAATGTTTCGGTTTTATCTTTGTCGTCAGATACCTACTATTATGACCCTATCCTAATTAACACTTATCCGGGTCATTACCTACTCGGTTTGTGATTATGAACCCTAATAAACAACAACTAATTTATGTTTACAGCTTACTTATTCTAACCTCATTTGCTAAATGCATTTATTTGGGATAGTCTCGGATAATAATTCAACGTATAATTTATATGGCTCGTAAATTCCCAGAGAGCAAAATATATTTATTGGGGCAGCTACTAAATGTAATTGTAGCGTACCGCTACAAGCCTAATTTTACAAACCAACTACTCTGCTGTCTAAAGTCCCAACCAGCATTGAATTACCACCACTATATCTAGCAAGCGGCTATGCTCTTTCCCCAATCAAATTTATCAGTATGCCATAGGTGAAATGATCTAGCTAGATATGATTTGAGTGTGGCATCGGTCCGCAGAGTAGTGGTTTCCCACAATGTCATTAGTTAAAACTTCGTTTCACTTACTATGACGCTGGTCCTGCTTTTGTATTGAATGGCAGTGACAATCTAACACACTTTGTAGATTATATCTCGCGTATATTATTGCAAGAAACTTAAAAATATTTTCTGTAGTTACTTAAACATGAGAACAGACTTACCTCAAACATAAACGTGTCCACTTCTTCCCTCAAATCAGCTCTAGTGAGCGGCTTACCGTCTATAGTGCTCTCCAACAGCAGATCCAAGAATGCAACTTTCCTTTTACCACCAAAATCTTCACTGTCGCTGACGGATTCAGCAGACTTACTATTAATTTTTTTATCTATCACTTTGTCCGTGTGCGAATGAAGGACCTTCAGGGCTTTCTTTTCTCTAAAGTAATTAGGGGTGAGTGGGTACAGCGACTTGTGAAACGGAGTGAATACACGGTCCATGACTATGGCGCACATGGTCTTCACACTATGAACGTACTCCGAATCACCGTGGTCTAGAGCGTTGACAGAAGTTCCCATAACTGCCTCTGAAACAACACTAAACAGTAGTAAGAGTAGTAGGAATAAAATAGTTGTTGGAGATTACAGTCTCTGTACACTGTATAAATTGGTTTTCCGACCGCTGATTTTCTGCTCGCAGTAGAAACACTTCACTCTTGGAAGCTTAGTCTGCAGAATTCTTTGACAATTGTCAATGGCCGAATACTCCTTGACGTTTCGAGAGACACATCGCTCTTTGGTCAAACTCTGAGTCTATATCTATGACACTTGGGTGAAAAAAGTTTCAAGTCATTGACATATCTGAACCAACAGTTTGTCTTTGAGTTGCTGACTTCAAAAATTCGTCCAACCCAGAAGACGTTCAATCAAATGTTCTTCAGCTTATTTCTTTAGAACTTACCACATATGATGTCCAGAGTACAGAGAGACACCCATGGATATATGTCCACGCTGGGTTTTCCTACCAACTTCTCAAGTTTCGCTATAAAATTGTCGCCCACGGATTCGAAGGTCTTGATAAACTGGGTTAGAATCGTGAAATGAAAGGAAGGGGTTATCATTTTCCTACGACTTCTCCATTTTGCACCTAAAACAGTACCCTCTTATACATTGCACTTAAAATGTTTCAAATGTATTCGTTGTACCTGTACTTGTAAGTAAGCCTGTTCCCAACCAGTTATCAAAAGAGTCATAAAGAAAAGATTTATCTAACATTTTCGTGGAAGACAGCACGCGTTCCGTCAATTTGTAGTCCGTTACTAACACAAAATCTCGAGAAAAACTCAAGTGAATCCTAACTATTTCTCCGTACGTTTCTACATATTCCACCAACTTGGTAAGGAATTCTAAAACGATACAAAGAAATATTAAAATAATTACACGGCGCCACAAAAAAAGTGAACTGGGCCGTGGACTAAACCAGTGTATCCTACAGTATTATGTCGCGCTGGATACGAATCTAAGGTCAGAATTTTCGGATCAGCTCATGTTTTGATCCTGACATCAGGAAACCAATTGCCGGAACGCTGGTAGTTATTTGTTAATTCAACACGAATTATTGAAAAGTTAAGGGTTTTCAAGTAGGTTTAGCGTCGCCATAAAGTCGTCGAGAGACTATTGCCTTTTATCACCGCCGGGGCCATGTGTTGGGCCAAACCATTGGACGGTTTAGGCCATTGTGAAGGAAAAAATCGATATTTCTAATAACGCGCGAAATGTATTCGAAAAGAAGTAGGAATTCCAAGATATTTAAATAAGTTGTTAGAATGTTGTGAGGAAAATAATAATAGATCAAATGGCTGGTTTTTAGGCGGATTTTCCAAGCTATAAGTATAGATTAAATGAGATCGACTAATCCATCCCGTGTTGCTACACTGAGTCACAAGAGGAAGGGTTATTTGTAAGTTCAGTTTAGTCTCAAAATTATCCATACAATTGTAAATTCGCTCAAAGCGTCCCGATATTCAGGGATCCCGCCAGTAAGATAACCGAAACTTCGGAACCCAAGAAATGGGCGTGTCGAAGCGCGGTGTCGAATTCAGGAAAGTTCTCCGAAAAAGGCAGTTTCCCCTTGGGTTCCACATTGAGCAGTCTACCTAGTTTTAGAGTCTCGGGTTAATTTAATAATGGATAGTCTTTCCAAATTTTGCTATGGATATCGCATTCCCTGAATCTCGGTACGCTGTTGCGTGTAAATGAATCAATAATGTTTTTTCGAGTCTATTGTGTTACCATTGTTTTGTTTGTTTTGTTTTTATTGTTATTAAAACCCTTCCTGGAATGTTTTGGTGTTTTTTGTTCTTCCAACTTAAGTGTCACCCTATACAACCAGCCTAACCCCATAACCCTATAACCCCGTAACCCCATAACCCCGCAACCCCGTAACCCCGTAACCCCATAACCCGCAACCCCGCAATCCCATAATCACAAGTTCGTAACTCCATAAACCTGTAACTCTATAAACCCGTAACCTCATAAACCCGTAAACTGTTATTTGAACGATTTTGAAAAAAACTTACAATCACCGTAGAGAGTCAAAGAAGTGGTATGCTCCATGGGTCTACAAGAGCTTCCATGCCCTAGATTAGGGGATTACGAAGTTAACAGGACTAGAGATTTAATTCTTCAGAATTTCGTAGTTATACATCTTCGTATAAACAAAGTCATAGTCATGGGGTTACGGGGTTATTGTGTTATAGGGTTACGGAATCCTGACAACTCACAGTCATGTAGTTTCGAACCCTTGAGATATGAGATCCACGTTCCCAAAAAGTTTCATCGATATGACTGCGCACACCCCGGATTATGGGGTATAGGATTACGATGTTATCGAACATGGGGTTAAGGAAGCCTGGCAACATACAGTCATGTAGTTTCGGACTCCTGATATATGAGATGTACGTTTCTATAGCGTTTATTGTGCTACATCTCGTTATGGGGTTACGGGGTATACGGTTACAACTATAGGGTTACGGAATTATGATGCAATGAGATCATGAAATCGTATGTTTTTCCAATTACTGACACATTTTTTTTGTAGCGTGGTGTTATTTATAGGTATTTATAATTAGGGCTGTAGAGGAACATAGGCGTACGTATTATTTATTAAAAAGGAACAAATTAAATTGTCTACAATACACCACCATAAACACCAACGGATAGGAATTTATAACGCAACATCCGCACGATAACAGTTGAACTCTGAAGATGGTTTTGTTTGTTTAATATTTCCGAAATGTTTAAAGATATGTAAATTTTGCACATGCCTTAAAATGTAAATTGAGAGTTAATTACTTCAGATCATCATGACCGGCTGTGGGGTAAGTACTGTCATATGCTTGGCTATTTTTTTTTCAAACTTGATTACAAAATTTGAAATTTTAAATTAAAACAACCTTCATTTTTTAACAACCAAACAAGTATTATGGAACAAAACTTTTACAATTGCTGATGTTCTCTGATGTCGATGTAAACCCCCCGTCATATGCTTCTTAAAATTATCATATTCGATGCAATTTCGCATAAGATACTATTAAATTATGTTAAACGTATTCAGACAGATATACATCATTGTCAAGGCCACATAAGAAATGCATATCAGCCATTACAACCTTCGTAAAACTAATCATTGCACTTTTAAGTCAATTATTTGACCTTAAGTTTTGTTATTAATAAAGAGAAAAATGCGGCACTGACATAATTTCGACGTCAAATTTTATTAAATAAAACGAAATGTCATAAAAAATCCTTACATCAGCACACAGCCTACAAGATTTAATTAAAATTCCGTATATCAAAACACTATAATCTCTTTTTGTGTAAAAATTGAAATTTCTTATTTTGAAACAATAACCATTGAAAAAATTATGACAGCGATGATTTTTGGTTATTAGTTCTAATTTTACGTGGTAAGGAATAATAAGCTTAGTATACTACAAATTCATTTACATCTTACATTTTTCGATGTTTTTGGAAAAAAATAAGCTAAAACCATCTTCAGAGTTCAAATTGAAAACTAAGCATTTCAGGCTGCATGTTTATGTGTAAGTTTTGGAATATTCTGTACATTGGAACAATTTTACTTTATTTAAATAAAATTACACTTTTTCTTTGTGCGTCGCATATCACATCACAAAACGAGTACTTACTGGTTGTAGATGTTAAAAAATCCAAAACATTGCCGAAAAGCAACACTGGTTTTGGTCCTGGCAGATACGTAGCAATCTGTGAATCCTTTTTGAAGTGACAAGTTAGTAAAAAGACCACAATGACAGCGCAAACTAAAGCAATGTACATTTTTTATTGGTTTTAGACAGACTGTTGCTATAGAATTAATAGAAACGGTGAATGCTAGTATGTAATTTCTAAACATGCATTCATTTGTGCATGTTTTGATAGATTTTCAATTACATGTCAGCGTGATTAAGTAGTTACAGATAACTGTGGAAAATTTAACCGGTTTTACTAGCGCTTTCATAATTAACTGCAATTATTTATAAACATATTCTTGTTTACAAATTACTATTTTAATTATTGCTTATAGCTTTAATGTGAAAGGAAAATTTTTAAAACAAATAAATAATTGAAAAAATGAGCAGATATCTTAAATTTTTATTAACCGCATTTGTTATCTGTCTTTACTAATATTTATTGCATAGTTGTATAAAATTCACGAAATTTTTAAACCCATTTCCGTCTTCTCAGCGAAATATGGACACCATTCTTTGACATTAGAATTGTTTCTGGAGCTAATTCTAGCGCATGGGCTGGTATTGTGGGGTGTAGTTCAAAACGGATTGTCTTCATTTCCGACATTGCAAACTTCTGACCTAAAATGGAATTGAAAATCTTGTTAAAACATAGGATTTTACAATGAAAAAAGAAATATTTATCAACTTACCTATGCAATTGCGAGGTCCAGCACTGAAAGGTACATAAGAGAATTAAGAGAATTGTACCCTGCTCTCGTAATTTTCAAATCTTTCCGGAATAAATTTTTCTGGGTCTGGAAAATATTTTTGGTTCCTGTGAATTCCAAAACTGAAGAGCCTTATAGTTCGACCTTTAGATATCACATTACCATCTGAAGCACAACAATAATAGTCCTAATTTTGATAACAACAACACCACTTAACGAATGTTATTACTCCATTCGAGGCCTTCCTAAAGTTCCTTCCCTATAAGTGGCACAGAAGGGTACAGTCTTATGGTTTCTTTTATGACCAATTCCAAATATTTCAGATCCTGCAGGTGCGAGGTCGTGATCTGAGCGCATGTGTTGTCGCCGAAGATGTTCCTTTGTTCTTCAACGACTTTTCGCTGAAAATTTTAAATGTTTAGACCACTTGAATGATAGTAGTTTGAGGATCGCAATTTGCAAGTATTGATATTGCACACTGATCTGAACATCTTGGTTTGTTGCCAGTGAATAAAGAGCAAAGGTGATTGCAGATGAAGTTGTATCGTGTCCGTACAAACAAAACAAAAATAGCAATAATAAACAACCAAGTTAAGTATCTTTTTTGACAAATTTAAAGTGTAACGGAGAACAACGAACACCATTTTTCAGAAAATGCTCCCCAAATCCTTAGACAGTAGATTATTTGTGAATATGATTAAAGATNAAAAAGCCCTTTGTTTTATCTTTTTCCACCCTTGGCCGGGGGTTGAACAAAAAATTACTCTCACTTATTGTTATAATATACCTTAAACTAACTCATATCAAAAATTCAGCCAAGTTGACAAAATTTCGATTTAAAGGCTTAGTTAATTGGACTATTAACTTGGTTTCGTCATACAAAAGTAACGGGCTTGAAGGACAATATTCGCAAATAACGCATTTTTTGAGAATTTGAAGAGTATTTTCTCGAAAATGGTGGATACTGGTGTAAAACTGACTTTAGATGCATATTGATAGGGTCCGAAAACATGTCGATAACAAGGTAAAAAAAAACATACATTTTTTTTGTGCGCCTGGGTGATAATTGCTGCTAACAATTCTTAAATTCTAATTTATCTAGCTTTAGACTTTAGAGGTGTTCTAGCTTTGAAGTTACTTCAAGTTCCTGTATTTTGCACCGCTGGCGCTGATACGGAAAACCCAATAATAGAATGTTATTTATTTATTTTTTTAATGAAGGATCGGAAGCAATGACTTATGTACTTATTTGCCTGTTAAGATAAACGAGTTTGGGGTTCTTTTATCAGAGTTCATAGGTTTAGTTCAAGTTAACTATGCCTCATCATAGTGCTGCTATTGTTTTATTTATACTTTACCAATATTACTACAAAGTTTTTTAATTTAAATCCTGCCTCTTTCTTAACGGTAAGTTTACGTAATCAACAGGCTACCTAAATATTTTTTCCACATTTCTCTTTTTTACTTTAAGTCAATAGAATATACAGAGTGGAAAGTTTAATTGCAACAAATTCTGCATCTTAATAAATAAAGGTTTGTCGCAAAATTCTTGAAACACGTCAGTTTTTATTTTCAAATTACGAAGAGGTTTGTTTATTTTTTTAATTATGTGACGACTTTTTTTAAATGAAAGAGTAGGTTGATTAATTTTTTATTTTAAAGGCTTTTCGAGCAAAATATGGTGCTGCTCCGTCTTGCTGAAACCATATCCGTTTGTCACATAAATCGGGACCCAAATTATTGGGGAATAAAGCCGCTAAAATAGGAACCAGTTCATCTTGGAGCATAGTTAGTTACGTTTGTCCGGTTACATTTTTCTTGAAAAATATAAGACCCCAATAATTCCATCCCAAACGTTTGTTATCTGAGGCATTCATGTATTACTCAAAGATATACATATTTTTGTTATTATATTTTATTTACAACATTTCCTTAACTACTACCAAAATGTCATGCGCTGTCCTGATCAATTTCTTTGGGACTCTAGACGTAGATCTTGAGATTTAATTAACAAGCTACCACTACATCAAGTAAGAAAAAAATGTATACTTATATTAAAGCAGTTTCAGTAAACAAAAAAATACGTATTGTATTTACAATTGAAAAAGTTTTTAAATACAAATTTAATCAACCTACCCTTCCAGTTAAAGAAAAAGTTGGGGTTGCTGCAACCCCCACATAATTAAAAAACGCCTGTGAGCTTGGGAAAAATGAATTGAATAGCATCTTCTTAGATAACAAATTCCGCCAACGCCAAGCCAATGAAGCTTTCAGGCTGAAATTTTTACCGCTTATTAAGGGTGTAAAAAGCCTCAAAAATCCTGAATTACAAGTGTCTGTGATGAAAATTGTATTAATTATTAGCAATTGAAAAAAGCGGACATTTTCGACCATTTTTGAGCTCTTGCGCATAAACAAATTATCGGAATTTAATCGGACTTGTCTTATTTTACAGATTTATTTAATACCTACCTTTTTCGGATAAACCTTTTTTCTCTATGAATAACAGTTTTTTTACGCGAGTCAAAAAACCACTTTTCCATAACTTTGACCATTGTTTTAACAAAGTTCCCCAACTAGTTGATTTTCTTGTCTTGAGTTGATTTTTTGATATTTTGTTTATAACACGTTTCTGAACAATATTCCGCAGAGAAATTTCTAATAGTATTTTTTTCCCGAAAAAAAGCTATAATGACTGGCCTATACGACAAAGTTTTCCTAACTATTTTCAGAATTATCTACGTATGGATTCTTATACATTTATCATTTTGTTAGACTTGATCTCACCTGTCATATCTAAACAAAACACGAAGATGAGAGAAAGTATAACTGCCTAATCGCGCGAAGTATACCCAATACTTTAATTCGCAAGGAAAAGTTCAATGGCAGGATGATATGTTAAAAAAAGGAAAATCTTAATTTATGATAACATACCTGGCTTAATAAATTATTCTTCATATTGGTTTCATTGTTTTCTTCTACTATAGATTCATGAGCTTTGTTCGCAGTATTCCGTTCTGATCTTTCGCTCTCATCCTCTCCTCCGTCCTCATTCTCCTCCGCTGCCACTATTTCTTCAGTATCCATATTACTTATACTAGCAGTAGGTATAGTAGGTATAGCTTGATCACTGGTAAATAGCAGATTATAATACCATAAAGTTGGTACATATACATCCTCTTGTCCTACCCCACTCCTATTTAATTCTAAAACCTTTTTTACTTCTTTGCGAAATGATCCCCTAAAGCTTTGAATATTTTTCACCACATAATCTCTATTTGCTTCCGGATTTACTATTTTGCAAACATCAATCAATTTATCGTAAGCAATATTTTTTAAATTTTTATTTGTATATTCTTTACATTTGACCTTCCATAGGCAGGGATTTGATTTATAAACTTCAATAAACTTTGTTATTAAGTATTTTGACCAGTACCTTGTTTATTTTGTTTGACTTTGACCCACGCTCAAATCGCGTGCGATAGTTGTCGCTACAAAAACACGAATCACGTTCTTTTACCGCAAGTCAGCCTACAAGCAGGGTTGCCAATGGTTCCCGGATGAAATACCCATTACAGAATTAGCATTACAAACAAATACCCATATTACAATTTTTTTACAGGGCGGGACATATAAAATAAATATTCGATCTTTATTACATTTCAGACAAGAATTATAATAAAACAGGATCTATACGGTTTTTTTATTCGTTTTAAAATACGGTTTTTTTATTCGCAATGGTAAGTTATTAACTGCCAGTAGTCCACATAATTTAAGACTTTTTGGTAGACTCTTAAATGCGTTTTGTCATAAGATCACTTATTTTGATATTCGATTTAATTTGTTTAACATTATTTTTACGTTTTTCTGAAGACTGATGTCGATACAGATCATTTTTACTATTTTAATAATGGATAGTTACTTGATCCAAATCTGAAAGACTGGCTTATAAAGCAAGAAACTAATAGTAGTACTAGCAGTTGTAATGAATATGCCTTTTGCAAGGCATATAATATGTCATTAATTGTCCATAAAATAATCTGTATCGACATCAGTCTTCAGAAAAACATAAAAATAATGTTAACTGGGCTACTCATAGCATAGCTCAGTGTACAGCACTACATCATAATGCTGTAATACATCTTTTATCTAGTGCTATAGCTCAGTGTCACACGTCACAAGAAACAAACAAGAAGGCACATATTAATTAGTGAGACGGACTGTCAGCTGTCCTGTGTTACAACGAGAGTATTATATCTATCCTCTATTATATTATGTATAAAATAAGAGATAGCAATACGCGTAGAGTGGGCCAGCCAACTACAACTCAATATAAAGTAACTTGTTACCTCCCCAATAAAATAAATATTCCCCACAAAATCTCCAGGAAAAATAATTCCCCACAAAAAACCCACAGTCAATGAAATTCCCCACGTTTTGGGGAATTACCCACATATTGGCAACCCTGCCTACAAGAGTGCACTCGCTATTTTCGCGCAT